GACTACATACCTCTGGTACCAATTCGTAGGCACTCAAAATAGCCTGTTTTACTACTTCATAATCTTTTGACACCTCATCTGACAGTGCTGCAAACACCTCACTAGCCCTGCCTACCAATTTGATCTGAATTATCATTACTCACATAGTCTCTGGCCAGTTCATCTGGTTAGCCAGTTTTTCAAAGGAAATAAAAAAAAAGGGCTTCTACATCTTTTTCATCGAATTTTGGTAATGTTTGAACATATTGGTATATATCCCTACCAGGCTGATGGCTATGATGAGTTTGCTCATCCTCACTTCTGCCTCGTACTTTTTAAAATTATGCCGCTTCAAGTTCCAACTTCATGTTTTCCAACTTGAACATTCTTTCCCTTTCTTTTGCCCTGGCTCTTCTTTCCTTTTCTTTATCTTCTAACTCCAATTGTCTAATTTTCAACTCAATTTTTTCAAGTGCACTGAAGTTAGACTGTTTTCTGGTATACTTAAATGCTTCTTTACAATTTCCTCTTGTCCCTAGTTAAACCCAAATCCACCTGTTCACTAAGTATAAAAGTATATCCTTCCTCTGTTTTTAAACTTTCTTGGCAAATTTGGGAAGCATCCTCAAACCCCCGAAGCCCTCTAGCAATGTTAAGAGCCATTTCCTCCACTTTTGATTTAACCAATAACAAAGTCACCGAAATAACAGGTTTTCCACTTCTCACTTAAATTTATTTAAAGATCTAGGACACTAATCCCCAAGTCTACTTAAATCTGCTGGGAACTTTCATACCCCAAATCTGTTCAGATTTGAGCCTGGACTCAAAACCCCAATCTGTTTGGAGGGGAGGTTGACACCTGTCGGATAATGAAAACCGAAACTCCTAGAGAAGCTCACCTCCCCTCGTAATCTGTTAAAGGAAGTGTGAAAATTGGTATAATCTACCTCACCCCCTATCTTTTATGAAGGAGTGGCTAAATGAAAGAAATCCTTGACACAAACCTTTATAAGCAACAAGTAACAATTGATTTATCTAACTCCTAAACAGTGAATGAATTAACAGAACTAACAAACCGAACAATTTCCCCCCCCCCCCTCCCCCGCTTAACTACTAACTATTCCCAAATAAAACAAAATTATGGTGTGCTGTTTCAGTAGATATAAGTATCACTTGTACAAACCAAATTAATTTAAAAAAAAAAAAAAAAAAAAAAAAAATTCTCAAATTAGTCAGGATGAGTCTTCCAGATATTCTTTGCCTTCTGCTGTCCATCAGTCAGGACCACTTTTTCCTCCGTTGAATTCTTGTATCAGGAATATTCGCTAAGAGTGCTGTAGTACCTTTTATTTAGATGGTGCTTACTCTGAGAGCTTAGAGATTCTCTTAAGGTAGCAGTTCGCTCTCACCCTGATTTTCAAATGGCCTCTTTTATACCTTTGCCCTATCAATTTCTTACAATAGGATTGGTCTTAGGTAGTCAAAACCATCAGATTTAAATTTATTTGGGTTTTGGTATCTAGGGCATGTTTTAAATTTAATTGGCTAAATTCAAAAACCTGTTGTCTTGGTAAAAATGCTGCTTTGCCTGCTAACAGTGTGGCCTTTGATACAAAGTTTCAATTTCAAGAGCTCTCTGTACATCTGCCTGCAGACATTTATTTTAAATCTCCAAGCCTTTTTTTAAAAAAACATCTTCTAAAGTGGCCACATGCACTCCCTTTTCCACACCCCACCCCCACCGCTCCCCCCCGCCATCGTTTTACAAACAAATTCTACCACCTGTCTTCCAATCTACAAGTACTATACCAACTTCACAACAATTCATATGATCATTTAGGGGAACTTCTTGAGTCTTGATCAATGTAAATAAATGTTGGTGTTTTCTATTATGGATACAAACTTGGCTGAGTGATAGCAAACGGTAATGGTCAATGGATAATTTTCCTGCTGGTGGAAGGTTTCTAATGGAGTTCCATTCGTCCATATTGAGAACCTTGCAATATCTTGAGGTAGACAATTTTAATTTTCATGCAAATGATACAAAATATGGAAGTATTGTGAACTGAGAGGAGAACCGTGTAGAACTTTGAACTGATATAGACAAGTTGGTGGAGTGGGCAGATAGGTAGCAGATAAAAATTCAAAGCCGAGAAGGCTGACTGACCATTTAATAATGAGATATATAAAATTGAGGGGCATAGTGTAGACAAGAAGTAGCTTTTCCCTTTTGTGGAGGGATCATTGACCAAGTAGTGTACCTTTTTAAGGTAAGGGACAAGAGATTTAGATCAGATGTCAGGAGTTTTTTAATTCACCCCAAGGGTGTTGGCAACCTGGAACTCACTGCCTGTTAATGTAGTAGAGGCAGAAATCTTGTAACATTTAAATTATATTTAGATGTACACTTATGATGCCAAGGTGTATAATGTTAGAGGCCAAGTGCTGTAACGTGTGATTAGAATTGTTGGGTCTGTGCCAGTCCTTTGGTCCATTTTTCTGAGCTGTAGAATCAAAAGGTCTAAGTGTGAGGTGATGCATTTTGATGGGAGAAAATGGACTGATTATACAAAATAAAGGATGCAATTCTAAAGGGGTACAGGAGCAGAGTACAGGGATCTAGGTACATTTGTGCACAGATTGCTGAAGGTATCAGGACAGGCTGAGAAAGGAATTAATAATACAAGAGCAAGGAGGAGATGTTGAACTTGCATAAGACACTTGTTAGACCTCAGCTTGAGTATTGTATACAATTCTGAGTGCCACATTATAGAAAGGAATTCATTGGAGACAGTTCAGAAGTGACTTACAAGAATGATTCCAGTGGTGAGAAATTTTAGCTATGAGAACAGATTGAAGATGTTTGGACAGTTCCCTGGGAGAGAATAAAAGTGGAGATCTGATAGAAATGTTTAAAATCATGAGAGTTTTCTAGATAAAGTAGATAGGAAGAAGCTGTTCCCATATGTAAAAGAATAGGAATGAGAGACAAAGATTTAAAGTGATTTGCAAAAAACAAAACCTTTGCACACAACTTTGAGACTGGGATACTCTGTGAATTTTTGCTGTACTGCAATACTAGTAGTATGTCTTCCTTAAATATGTATTCCAGTGTGGTCTCTCCAAGACTGTTTACAGTTATAGCAAAACTTCTAGTCCCCTTGGAACAAAGGTCAACAAACCATTTGCTTTTACAATTGCTTGCTGTACCTGCAGTTGTGTGGGATACCAAGTCTCTTTGGATACTGATATCTATACATTTCTATTCTCAGACCAAAGTGATACTTCACACTTTCCCATATGATTACTCAAAATGCCTACCTCTCTAACTTGTCTGTATATCTTCGCAGCCCCTCTGGGTCATCCCTACAGCTTCCAGCTAGATCTGTTTTATAAGCAACTTGATTACATTACTCTTTCTTCACCTTCATTAGTATACCTCATAAATAAGAGGCCCAGGTACTGATTCTTATAGCACTCCACAGGTCACAGCCTGCCAACTTGAAAGTGTTCTGTTAATCCCCGCTGTCTACTTCCAGTATCCTCTATCCGTGCTAATATATTATACCTAACTCCATGAAGCATTATCTTACCTATTAAACTTGTGTTTTATCTTTTATTGATTTTGTTTTTCCTTTGAAATCTGGGCACTACATCAGCTAGTTCCCTGTAATTCCATCAAAAAACTCTCAATTTGTCAAAACAAGGAAACTTTTTGCAAAACCATTTTGAATTGTTCTCGCGATTAGAATTTGGTGCATGTCTAACTGCAAACTTATGAACCCAGCTAATAATCATAGCAGGCAAGTTGGAGCCCAGAGTGCAAACAGCCTCAGACCATGAGCAAAAACAAGTTGCTGGAAAAGCTCAGCAGATCTGGCAGCATCTGTGAAGAAAGATCAGAGTTAACGTTTAGGGCCCAGTGACCCTTCCTCAGAACTGATGGTAGCTAGGAACATGTTGGTTTATATGCAGAAGATAGGGTGAGGGAGGGGGTAAAGAGTAAATGATAGGTGAGGATAGAGCCCAAAGAGAGAGAAGAACAGTTGGACAGACAAAGGAGTTGATAATGATTTGGCTAGGAGGGTGAATAATTAATGGAAACTGTTTGTGGCTAACAGTAGGTAGTGTGTAATGGCAGGCTAAGGTAGAAGCCTAGGACATGGGAGAGTTCCAGCCCTAAAATTATTGAACTCTATTGAGTCCGGAGGGCTACAGGGTCCCCAAGTGGAAAATGAGGTGTTGTTATTCTAGCTTACATTGACCTTCACTGGAACGCTGCAGCAAGCTTGAGACAGATGTTGGCCAAGGAACAGGGTGGTGTGTTGAAGTGCCAGGCAGCTGGAAGCTCGGTCTTTTTTTTTTTTTGTGGGCAGAAAATAGATGTTTTGGGTCTAGTGACTTTTCCTCAGGACTCGGCAATTAATTTCCTCATCTCTTTTTCTGGAAGACAACATTACTTCACTGTCTCTGCTATACCCTCACACTCCATAATGATTTCTCCTGTCCTGTTTCAAACGTTTCCTTTATGTAATACTTTTTTTAATAAAATTGAGGTCATGGTTGGTTTACTCTGTTTTTTTTCCATTTTTTTAACCTTTTAGTGACCCTTCGATTTTAAAACACTCCTAATCCTCAGACCGCTATTTTCCTTTGTAATGTTGTAATTAACATTGGTTCTGCATCTACCACAGTTGGTCTTGTGGTGCAGTGGTCCAACTGCTCACTTTGCCTTTGAGCTGTGCCAAAATGGAATAATAGGGAATTCACCCTTATTTTCAAGCAGTGTCATGGGTGTTGATGAGTGCTGAACTCATCACAACATTCGTGGAGGTACTGGATAAATGTGTGTGAGAAAATAATATGAATAAAAAAAGGGGGGCTGTGTAAAAATATCCCCTGGGTTATTGAGGGACGCATAGAATGTTCTTTGCACTTGTAAACTGGTCATGTTTTTAATACCTGCTTTCTAAACTTTAAATTTTACCTGTTTGGAATTTATATTCTGCTTTCTTTTGCAGATCAGTGTCCAATCAGCTGCTGCTACTATCCCGTGAATCAGTAACAAATCCCCAAAGTGATGGGGACCACACAGAAGATAACCAAGCAATGACTAAAAAAGAGTTGCAGGGTAACTTTGTTTTCAGATATCGTTTCAGTGCCATCTGATTGAAAATTCAACTTTAAATCTGCTTGAACACAAAACATTACAACATGCAAATTAAGTACTTTTAGAAGTAAACATGTATGATCAGCATTCCAGGAGAAATGATTTGATTGAAGATACATCTAGATAGGGAGAGTAAGTAGGGTGGCTAATGTGTCTGAATTGTTCCTTGGTTGCATCAATTGTGTGGAGCATTTGCAATGTGATTGTGTTTTAAATTGGACAAAATCTCAATCTTCACCTCCAATTTGAAATTCATTCTGAGCTGCTCTAATTTATTTAAAAAATTCCATTGTCTCTATGACTTTGTTTGTTTGTTTCCCTCCTTTTTTTTCTTTCTCCTCTTGCCTTTCTGTCCTTTTTTCTTTTCTTTTCCCTCCCATTACCCCCTACTCAATCTCTATACCCCGTCCTGATGTCGATTATATAGTATAAAGTATCAAGTACCTGCTGTTTTTTGTTGGCTTGTTACAACCACTGCACTATCATAATTGGCCTTGCCATCCCAAGTAGCAGAGGAAAATCAGAGTTCAGCCCTGGCATAATGTTGTTTTACACCTGTGGACATGTGATGAGAAGGCTGGATGAATCAGGTATGGCTGTGATGCCCTTTATGGTTCCAATGCCTGCTAAACCCTCATGTGTAAAATAATGTTTGGGTAAGTTGAAGAGCTGGCATCTTCAGGAGGGGAATAAAATGGAACAAAAAGTATTTGATAAGTTTTAGGTAAACTCTGAAATTTGACCAAATAGAATTAAGAGTTTACAGGCTTGTTTGGAAATGATAGCAAAGTACCATATTTTTATTAAAAAAAAAAAAAAAAAATACTCCAGGTTTAAATAGTGGAGTGGAGTTGGAGAAAAAGCTTGAAATTTCAACTGATCTGATTCTTGTGGCAGATTTGGGTGGGAATCAACAGTTAGAGAGAGCAACGCTGGACAGTTGTGACAGATCATTAGTGGGGAATAATGGCGAAGACTGTTCAGATTACTCCAGCTCTTCCAAGAACACAGACACAGGGTACAGCTATGATGCTAGCACAGAGAGTGAGGCAGATGACTGCATACCGCTGGAGGAGGTTTCACGGAGGACTAAGAGAAAAATAGAGGAGGCATACACAGACCTAGGTAAAACTTTTCTTTTTAGGATGTATACTATGTGCAGATAATACTGTAGCAGTTCTCCCTTTCCCCTTTTGTTTTAAACCCCACCATTTCTCTCAAATGTTGCATGTGATCCATGTATAGGTTTTTGGAACATAGAGCTTTTGGTGTACTCTGCCATTGAATAAGATTGTGGCTGATTTGGTTGTGGTCTAAGCCCCCTTTCACCTGTCAGCACCCATAACCCTGAACTCCTTGTCAAAAATCAACCTAACCTGGCTTCAAATAAACTTAATGATCAACCTTCTGCTCTCTGGAGAAGAGAATTTCACCTTTGGATGACTGAGAAAAAAACTCTAATCCCTTAAAGCAAGACCTCTTACTCTTGAGTTATTACCTGTGTTTAGTCTGCCCACAAGATTTCTTCCTGGTATCTACCGATAGAACCCCCTTAATCTTCTGTTTCGATAAGATCACCTCTCGTTCTCAAACTCCATTAGATATAGGTTTAAACTGTTCAACCTTTCTTCATTGGCTCTCCATCCTGAAAATGGGTTAAGTAAGCCTTCTCTGAACTGCTTCTAAAGCAATTATTCAAATATTGAGACCAAACACAACACAGTTCTCCGAATATGGTCTCACCAAAGCATTATAAAACTTCCCTACTTTTAAATTCAATCCTCTTGCAATAAAAGCCAATGTTCAATTTGCATTCCTGTTCACTTAATGTACCAGTTTTACTACCCTTTTGTGATTCATGTACCAGGACACTCTAATTCCTTTTATCTCAAGATTCTGCAATCTGTTTTCATTTGAATAATGTACTGTTTTTCTGCTCTGCCTGACAACTCCAGTTCATCTTCATCCGTGTTATGCTCCCGTCTGTCAGTTTTTTGTTTTTTTTTGCCCATTCACTATATCCCTTTGCAAGCTCATTATCTCTCCTTGACAGTTTAACACATTTTACCAATCTTGCTGTCATTGGCAAATTTAGTCACCATACATGCATTTATCCAAGTCATTCATATGTATTGTAAATAGTTGAGGATTCAGCATTAGTTCCTGTGGCACTCTAGAAATTATAGCCCGCCTATCCCTTTTTATTTAAAAAAAAAAAAAAAAAAAAATCCCTTCTCTGCTTTCTGTTAGCCAGCTAATCCTTCAGCTGTACTAATGTTACACGCACACCCACCCCACCATTGGCTTTCATCGTATGTTGTAATCTTTGTGCCACCTTCAGCAAATGCCTCATAGAAATCCAAGTACCCTACAGCTACTGGTTCCCCTTTGTCAGGGTGAATGTAACTTTGTTAAAACTTCTATTGTATTAGTTAAGCACTCATTTCCTTTCATAATTGCTTGTTAGATTTGCTTGATCACATCGTGGATTACTGAGTAACCTGCTATAATCTGTTCCATAATGGATTCTAGCACTTGCTGTATGATGCTAGACTAAATGGCCTACAGCTTTCTGCATTTTTGCCGCCTCCTATCTTGAATAAACGTGTTGCATTTGCTGTTTTCCTTAGGACTTTCCCAAAAGTTGGATGAATTTTGGAGGGTTGTAACCAATGTTCCTAGTATTAACAGCCATGTCTTTTTAAGACCCCAGGATGCTGGCCATCTTGTTCTGGATCTTGTCAGCCTTTTGGTCCAAGTTGTCCTAGAGTCTGTTCCTTGATTTATTTGGTTTTAAGTTCATGCTTCCCCATTTCCTCTTAATTTTCAATTATCCTTAGGAAATTTACAAAGTCTTCTATCATGAAGACAGAAAATTCCTGTTAAAAGCCTCTGCACTTCCATTATCAGATTACTTACTCTATTCCTATCTAAATACCTATTAAAAACGCTGACAGTCCATTTTATATTGCCAACCAGCTTTCTCTAATACCATGCTTGCTGCCTGCCTCTTTATTCTCTTTTAGTGATTCTTAAAGTATACCCAGTCCTCTGACCTACTAATGATTTAGTATTAAATTAAAATTTTGATCTACAATCTTTACATTCCTTATTTAGCTATGGATAATGCATGTTCTGAAAGAGCATTACTTACTATCCAAATGCATTATCCTAGAGAGAAATTGGATATTAAATATCTCCTTCAAAGTCTGCTACTGCAACTGTACTGTCCTATCTTCTAACCTAGTTTCCCAGTTCACCTTAGCCAGCTCTGCTTTCATACCCTAAAGGTTGTCATTATTTGGTTTTAAAGCACCAAACATGGCCCTCCACTTTACTATTCAAACTGAGGATTAAATTCTGTTGTATTGTGATTGTGTTACCAAGAGGCTTCTTTAACATGAAGTTATTGATTGATCTTGTCTCATTGTATATTACCAAATCTAAAATTGCCTGTTTCCTGGTTGGCTATGTAGCATGCTGTTCTGAGAAACACTCTGCAAACTCATTCCACTTTTGTCAATCTAAATATAATAATCACAGGTGACTATTGTCTGCATGATCTTTTTTACATGCCTCATTTACTTCCTGTATGCCCCTTCGTACAGTGTAAGCGTTTGGGATCTATAAATTATAACCACAAATGGTTTCTTACCTTTTACTATTTCCTGTCTGTAACCAGACCAAGGTCATCCGTTTAGTATCGAAGTAGTGCCATTCTTAATTAAAAGAACTACTCTGACACCCTTTTTTTTTTAAGCTTTGTCATTCCAATAGGTTAAATATCCTTCAATATTAAGGTTCCATTCTTGGTCACTTTTCAACCATGCCTGTATAATGTCTGTGTCAATAATTCATCCCTTTTTTGTTTAAAAATGCTGCATGCGTTCAGATCCAGGGTCTTAATTTTTTTTTTTTTAAAAACCATTTTTGCAATATCTGGATTTATCTGCTGATGCACTCCAAATGACTGTGTACAATTTATCACTTCCTGTCACACTCTGGTAATCCTGACTCAAATTTCTGCTCTATATTGTATTACTACTTTTTTTCCCTTTTACTATATCCCCTCTCCTGTGATCTCCTCAACCCCCACACATTTTTAATTTTAATGACCTCTCTACCACCCTGGTTATACAATTTTGCCAAAATACTGCCCTAGCAATTGTACAGCCCTCCCTTTTTGAGCCAGGTCTTCTCAGTCTTGTCTTATTTACTTTGGCAATTTGTTTGTTGCTCAGGAAAAAATCCAGAAATTTGGTGTTTGATAATTAAGTTCATTATTATCTGTTAAAGCTTCTACATCTGAAGAAATTGCACAGACATCTTCTGACAGACAGGATAAGTCTCCTGAAAAACCCAAGCAGAAGAAGAATCGTTGTTTTACCTGCCGGAAAAAAGTAGGACTTACAGGTCAGTATTGTCTGCTGGACAGGATTCAGTGTGTAGGACATGTACGTGTAGCTCAGTTATGAGTATCTGATTGGGCATGTCTCGGTGCTGGAATGCAGAAGTGGTGGTGATTGTTTTAGTGCCGATTTTGAATTTTTCATCTGTCTAATTCACCACCTTATTAACTTACTGTTATGTCTATATTTTAAGTTGGGATCAAGTCACTACCTTGGCTAGAATTTTAATTAATTTTTTTTTTTTAATTTCTGTCATGGTGATTATGTGTGTTCTGTGTCTTAGCCAGTGAAGCAAGATGGGAATTTATTGCCTTGTTAATGCTACTGTTGGCATTGGACCTGGAGTAATGGAGTAGCCTGATGTTCTCTCACCCCCACTGGCTGATCCTTGCATGAAACTGAATTTCTTGAAGATTATACATTTGCTATCAATCCATAGTTCAGTTTATTGATGCGCTAACTCTGTTTGGCACACTATAATCTTGAAGCTATAGAATAATTTGACAAGCAATGTGTTTGGATATGTGCACTGCAAGCTTGCATGGAAATAGTGCTGCACTATATGAAATTATTTAATTGTCATTTCTTGGCTGTTTTACTACTCTAGCATCAGAGAAAAGTAAGGATAACCTCAACCTCTTCCCCACCATAAGCTGAGAGAGGAGCTCATCAGTTTCCTTCATAATATTGATATTGTTTATACAGCTCTCCCTGCCTGCTTCCCTGTCTGTCCCCACCCGTATTAGACTTCTTATGAAGATCTATGTCTGCCCCCTCAACCCCTTTTCCTACCCGCGATCTCCCCTTAGCGCAGTGTTTCTGATGCCCTAATGTCTCTTTTTCCTTTGTGCAGATTGTTTCTCTTTTCCAACCATCACTGGCCTACAAAACTGAGATTACCCTACAGCTGTGCACTGTCTCATCTTGCCTGTCATGGCTTCATAGTTACCCATTCCGTAATTCTTTTGTTCAATGCTGTCTCCACCCTACCCTGACTTATTCTTGCATGTTCCAAGGTTCCAACAGAGCTGGTGATTCTTGAGGGGAGATTTTGCATTAATGTTGAGTGTGTACAATTCTGTATTTACTTTGTGTTATAACTGCCCTGAGGACATTTGATAGGGGGGTTCTTTTTGAACTTCAAAGAAATTAGTAAGGGGGAAGAAGCCAAGAAATATAAATGTGGTGTTGGACTGGGGTGGACAAGGTCAGAGATCGCATGACACCAGGTTTATTTGGAAAAACAGACAGTAAAGGCTGTACATGTGTTTAGAAAAGGAAAATTTGCCAAAGCGAACATCCTTCCCTTAAAAGGTGAGATATGAGGAAATAATATTCCAAAATATGGGACTATCAGAGGTTTTGAACAAAGCACAGTAGAAAATGAGGCAAACGAGAGAAAAACTTATACCAATCACTATCGCTGGAAGGAATGTAAAGGGAGAACTAGAGGAACTGAAGACTGACAAACACCTCCTTCAAGAAAGGAGGGATACAGAAAACAGGAAATTTATATAAATGATGAACAACAATGGACTATAAGCAATTAGATGAGTATATAGGAGGTATGGCTAGTAAGTTTGCAAATGACACCAAAATTGGTGGTTTAGTGGACAGTGAAGAAGGTGACCACCAGACAAAATGAGAGGCAAGTAGTTCAGGAATCTCCTGTGGCCATTTCACTGCAAAACAGATATACCGTTTTGGATATTGAGGGGAATGACCTCTCACGGGAAAGCAGTAGCCAAACTCATTGTGCATGGTTGGCTCTGCTGTAGAGGGGAAGGGTAAAAAGTATGCCAGGGCAATAGCTATAGGGGACTTGATTGTAAGGGGAATAGATAGGCATTTCTGTGGCCGCAAACGAGCCTCCAGGATGGTATGTTGCCTCCCTGGTGCTAAGGTCAAAGATGTCTGAGTGGGTGCGAGATCCCTTGGGGATGAGAGACCATAACATTATAGAATTTTTTTTAGCAAGATGGAGAGTGAGGTATTTGACTAGGGTGCTGAATTCTAATAGAGGAAACTATGAAGATATGAGGCATGAGTTGGCCTTGATTGGGGAGAGTTACTTAAAGGGATGACAATGGATAGGCAATGACAAACATTCAAGGAACGCATAGGGGAACTACAACTGTTTTATTCCTGTCTGGCATAAAAGCAAAATAGGTAAGACGGCCAATCCATGGCTTACAAAGGAAATTAGAGTATCCAATCCAAGGATTGGATTGGTGAGGCCACACCTGGAATATTGTGTACAGATTTGGTCTCCTTTTCTGAGGAAGGATGCTCTTGCTCTTGGAGTGCAGCGAAGGCTGATTCCGGAGATGGCAGGACTGACGTATGAGGAGAGATTGACTGACTAGGTTAGAATTGTTTTCACTGGAGTTCAGCCGAATGAGGGGAGACTCTCAAAGACTTATAAAATTCTAACAGGACTAGTCAGGGTAGATGCAGGAAGAATGTTCCTGATGGTGGGTGTGTCCAGAACCAGGGGTCACCAGTCTGAGGATTCAGGGTAGACCATTTAGGATAGAGATAAGGAGACCTTTCTTCACCCAGAGTGGTGAGCTTGTGGCATTCATTACCACAGGAAGTAGCTGATGCCAGAACATTTAATGTATTCAAGAGGCAGCTAGATATAGCAAGTGGGGCGAATGGGATTAAAAGTTATGGGGAGAAAGCAGGATTAGGCTATTAAGTTGTACAATCAGCCATGATCCTAGAGTGAACAGAACCTGTGACACTCCTGTTTATATCTGTCATCCAGAATTCCATAATTGTGGCTGTTAACCTGGTTCAATCAGGGAACTCATTCTGAGATCCACCTGGCTGACCTTGTTCTCATCACTACACATAGTTCCTTGAAAGTAGTGTCACAGGTAGACTGGGTGGAAAAGAAGCCATTTGGCCCACTTGCCTTCATTGGTCAGAGCATTGAGTACAGGAGTTGGGACTGCACAGTATGGCTGTACGAAATGTTGGTAAGATCACATTTGGAGTATTGCATACAATTCTGGTTGCCTTGATAGAGGAACAATGTTATTAAACTGAAAAGGGTGCAAAAAAGATTTACAAGGATGTTTCTGAGGTTTGCGTTATATGGAGAGGCTGGGAATTTCCTCCCTGAAGCAGAGGAGGCTTGGTGGGGGGGTGGGTGGTGGTGACCTTCGCTTGTGATTTTATAAACCTCTTTAAGATGAATAGCCAAGGTCTTCTTTTTTTCCCCCCAAACTAGAGGGCATATGTTTAAGATGAGAGGGGAAAGATGTACAAGGGCCCTGAGGGGCAAATTACCCTCGGTGCATGTAAATGGAATGAAATGCCAGAAGAAGTGGTAGAAGTGAATAAAATTGCAACATTTTAAAATATATTTGTACAGGTATATGGATAGGAAAGATTTAGCAGGATATGGGCCAAATGCAGGCAGATGAAGCCAGTTCAGTTTTAGGAAACCTCGTTGGCATGGATGAGTTGGGTTGAAGAGTCTGTTTGTGTTGTATAACTATAGGCAGGACAATATGATATCTGTCACTGGGAGATACTAGAGTACCTTATTTAAAAGGTCATAGCAAAGATATTTTGGTCAGGCAGTGTCAGTGTAGTTTTGGAACATAGTAACTTATGCTTGACAGACCTATTGGAGTTCTCTTTGAGGATATGACAAGCTGGGCTTTTAAAATGGAGTCGTAGATGTCGTGTTCATTTGGTATCGTGAAGAGTTACTACGTAATGTAAAAGTATGTGTTGTTTTGGCTGACCCATTTAGCATGTATTGAGATCTGGCTAATAGGAAATAGTCAGGATAAATGGGCCATTTTCAAGTTGGCAGACTTTAACTATTGGAGTGTTAGAGGGGCCATTACTAAGGCCTCCTCTAATTAGGGTCTATATAAAAATGACTTGGATGAACAGACTATCTTGCAGTCAGATCTCTGAAGATACATCATAAGTAAATAGGGAAGTAAGTTGCGAGGAGGATACGAAGAGACCATAAAGTGATATGAGTGACTTAGGTGAAGGAGCTAAATGTGTTGTTGCTAAATTTGCTGATGATATAAAGATAGGTTGGAAACTATTGTTTTGAAGACATGAGTTAGCAAAAGGATATTAACGGGTTAAATGGGACATAAGATGGGAAAATGTGAGGCTGTACCTTTGTTGGGAAGAGTAGAAAAAGCCCATTTAAATGGAGAGAGATTGCAGAACTCAGCAGTATATCTGAGTATCCTTGTACGAGAATCCAAGTGCCAGCGTGCAAATGCAATAATTAGGAAGGCAAATGAGTGCTTGTGTTTATTATAAAGAAGATAGACTATAAAGTAGAAGAGTCATATTATGGCTGTATAGGGCATTGAGACCAAGTGACCACAGTACATCTTGGTTAAAGAGGGATATGTTGGCATTGGAAGCAGTTCAGAGCACATTTAGTCGACTGGTTCCTGATGTGAAGGATTTGCCTTTATTATAAAGTGCTGAACAAGTTGGACTTTTACTTAGAGTTTAGAGAAAAGGGTGCTATCTGACTTGAAAAGAATAATACACTGAAAGGAAATAGTAGGAACTGCAGATGCTGGAGAATCCGAGACAACAAGGTGCAGGGCTGGATGAACACAGCAGGCCAAGCAGCATCATAGGAGCAGAAAGGCTGACGTTTCGGGCCTAGACCCTTCATCAGAAAAGGGGGAGGGGAAGGGGGTTCTGAAATAAATAGGGATAGAGTGGGAGGCGGATAGAAGATGGATAGGTGGAGAGAAACAAACAGGTCGAAGAGGCGGGGATGGAGCCAGTAAAGGTGAGTGTAGGTGGGGAGTTAGGGAGGGGACAGGTCAAGGGGGCGGGATGAG